TTGAACTCACTGGGTAGCCCAGGATGGATTTGAACTCCTGGAGATCTCTTGCCTCAGCCCTTCAAATGCTGGTATTATAGGTGTGTGCAACCACACCTGGTTAAAAGAAGCTTTCACACAGCTAAGAATTTTAACCACAGCACTGTCCTTAAAAGCAAAAATAAAGAGAACAGTAGGAGTAGTAAACATATCCTTTTTTAGTCATTAAACAGAAAACTCTCCAGTGGAGAGATCATGAGGATGAATGAACTCCAGCAGGTGACACTAGCGTGGACTGCTCCCTAGTATGTGTCAAATGGGAGGAGCAGATGCAGGGTGAGTATATATGCCCTGACCTTCTTTACAAACTGTCCTGAAACAGGCATAACTGAACAGTGTTACTTAGGAATGAAGACATAGTGAAAGGCAGGGAGCAATGAGCTGAATTTGCTGCGAGAGGAAAGGAGGGGCTGTGGCCAAGAGGGAAGATGGGCTCTGGAAGGATCTGCCCAAGATATATACATACATATATATACATATATACATATATATAATGTTTTGTTTTGGTAATACGGGGGATTGAACTCACAACCTCCTGCTTGCGAGGCAGGCGCTTATGCCACTGAGCCAAATCCCTGGCCCCCAAGATCTATTTGTTACACAACAATATGTAGATGATCACTGTAAACTGTGCTTCCATTTTTTTTCTGAATGTATTTTGTTTACCATTATACATAATACAGAGTAATCAAATGCACCATTTAAAAAAAGGGGGAAAATAAACCTCAGCATGTATTATAACATAACACTTGTTTATGATAAAAGATTTTTGGCTAGCCACAAGCAGAGGAAAACTTCTTTAAACCAGGAGTAACTTCAAAAGTCTACAGTAAAAACTATACTTAATCAGAAACTTCAAAAATATACACTGTCCATAGACAAGGATGCCAACTGTCACAGTTGCTGTTCAACAATGTCCTAGCCAAATTGGTAACTAGAGTTTAAAGTTATACAAATTTAAAAAGAAGACATAACCTTTGTGTTAACTCTGAAGGCTGTAAGAGTTCACCAAAGCAATCTAAGAGCACTTTAATAACTCATAGACTCAATAAAAGCAAAATTTCTCTTTTACTAAACTCAGGTCAACAGCACAGTTGTACTGCTGCTACTACTATTTCAAACATGTATTTAATTCTAAATATTCTACTTCTGATAGAAATAGCAACTATCAGGAGAAAACAGCAAATCCTTACTCAGCCAGATAGAAAGCTTCAATAAATGAGTCTTTTTATAGCTAGAAAGGTGCAGTAGTGTCATGACGGCAACTCTCCAGAAACTAAATTATACACTAAATGCAATTCTAATCAAACTTCCAGCAAGATTTTGAGAACTCAACGTAAAGATTCTAAAATTCACGTGGAAGGACAAAGAAATAAGCCCAGCCAAGAAGTCTTGAACAAGCAGGGAAGGCTTGGTTCATTAGATGTCAAGGCTTTTCTGAAGCTGACAGAGTGGAGAGACAGAGATGGATGAAAAGAACCAAGAGCATAGAGTAGCAACCTCTTCCCTACACGATGACCTGGCTCAAGACGGATGTGGCCTTTGAACCAGTGTAGAAAGGGGCACAAAATGCCCTGTAACCTTAGCTGGAAAATCAGATGTCTTTGTGGAGGAAAAAATTTAAATCCTCCCCTGCAGTCACCATGAATCTTAACAATAGATAGATGAAAGACTTGAATATGAAAAGCAAAACTTGAAAAGTTTTGTAAGAAAATATGAAGGCATCCTCCTGACCTTGAGTGAGGTAGCAAAGATATTTATGAGGGAAAAGCACAGGTCACAAAGGAAAAGACTGATATGTTTGACTCTGCCAACAACACAAACATCTACAAAAGAACTACAAAGTTCAAAGACCTGCCAGAGCAGGAGACGTTTGTAATGCAAATCACAGACAAAGGGTTAGAGAAGGCCGAGAAGTCCAGAATCAACATGACAATGAAAAACAACTTACTGAAAAAACAGAAAAAGACAATTCACAGGACAAGACTAAGTAAACTTAGGAAAAGAATACCTGGCTTTCTGAACAGGGGTAGAAGCACAAGTGAAATCAAGTCAGTTTCACCTTCATCAGACAGGCGCAAACTTATACATAAAGTGGGTAAAGATACCAGAGAAGGTTTTCTTCACAACTGCTGCTGTGACCTTCAGGAGAGCATGGTGAAAACAGCAGAGGTGGGGACGAGGGTGCCAAAGACACAGTGAGGCCCTGGCATCCACTTCTCAGAGAAGGATGAAGATACAAGGGGCCTGTGACAAGACAGACAGTTTGAGGGCACCCGCGCAGGCCTCTTGTGACAGTGACAAGTTCAGAATTACTTTAGTGCAAACCAATGTTTCAGCAGGTACTTTTTGAATACCAAGCATCTGTTAAAATGAATCTTGATCTGTATGTATCAACATGGGTAAACTGGAAATATGAAATTCTGAGTAAAAGATGACACTTCTGTAATTCTTCAAAGCACAAAATCCTTACTCCCTATGGTAATAACGTACAGGTCAGCAGATCTTTTAAAATGGGGGTGGGAAGAATGAAGTGTCAACTTTGGGAGAAGTGGTTGTATCAGGAAGGAATGGGATGGGACCTACAAAGGGATCTAAATGGTACTAGAGATATACTTCATATACGCACCACACATATTCTAAACGAGGAGACTTAGAATACAACAAAAATATTAACTTCCTCCCCTGTGCTAAGAAATACTCTAGGGGCTTGGGGTGAAGACACGCAAAACACATCATTTTTATCCTCTTGAAATTTACGTTTTACTGAGAGGCAAGCGGGACATACAATGAATGCTGCTCTCTCCTTTCAGCTGCTCACCAAAGCCTGTCAGGGAGATGTGGTTTGAAAGGAAAACAAGGAGCCCAGCTTTGGATGTGTTCTGGGTGACTGTCTGCAGACTCCCACCAAGAGAGGCTGCCTGGGCAGGGCGGGGCTTGGGATTCAGGGTAGAGGCTCAGCTGCGGGTACATGGACCCGCATGTAGGTGCATGCCTAAGACACATCAGGGAGGAAACAGGAATGAGGAGAGTCCACAGCAGTGAGGAGTCCAGGAGACAAAAGGTGCTCCTCGCCACCGAACATGCAACCCTGAGCTAGTGCTGTGGCTGGGGTGTGTCCCTGGAGCTTCTGCGCTGTAAACTGAAAAGCTAGAGTAGTGGAATTTGGAGGTGGGGTCTTTGGGAGGGCGATTAGGATTAAACAATGGCACTAGCAGTGTCCTAAGAAGGGGAAGTCGTGGGCTGGCACCATGTGTGCTAGCTCCCCAAGGAACACCTGTGCCATCTTGGGCTCTGAGCTCTAGCCCCCAGCAAGAAGCCCTCAGATGTGGTCCCTGACCTTGACTTCCCAGCCTCTAGGACCGAAGGTGGAATGTCTTCTATAAATCACCCACTCTAGGAAATTAAGACAGAGTGAGCCACAGTGGCAAGTTTTCCAAACAGGTGGAAGAACACAGATGTTATCACCATGGGGTTCCTTGGGACCCAGACAGGATGGGTTTGGGTGGAGGAGCTTCTGGAAAGCGCAGATGAGAGGGTGGGAGACAGCAAGCAGTACTCCCTCCTGAGGAGCCTGGCCTTAAAGGAGGGTAGAGAAATGGGTCACCACAGGAGGGATACAGGGTCAGGGTGGGATCTTTCACTGTCCTTGAGAAGGAGATCTGGAGTGGTGCTGGTGACCCCCTGGCAGCACACGGTGCCCACATGGCATCACAGGTTGGGGATATCATGGCAGCACAGTGGCCTGTGCTGCATGCTCAGCTATAGGCTCCTGCAGGTGAGAACCAGGCAGGAAGGTTCCCCAGCATCCTGGTCCTGTCAGGAGGGACTGGCAGCAGAGGGGGCGAGGCAGCTGAGGCTGTGAATGCAGGGCAGTGCCCAGCAATGTACCATTGGGGAATAGGAAGATCAGTGGGGAAGACAGAAGCTGGGAGAATCTGTGGTATGTGGATCTTGGAAGTGGAGGATCTGTTGGACTCTGGGCTCAAGAGACTGCTGGATGGAAGGACAGCAGGAGGCTGCCTCGGAATGGAGGTGGCAAAGGAGGGCAGTGATTGTCACCAAATCACAGTGTAGCCAAGGGGTATTGCTCTGATTGCATGGGACCTGGGAAGCTCCACACAGTACACAAATCATACAGATGGCCCTGGGACCCTCCTGCTCAGGCTCAGAGGTAGAGGCACACTGTGTCCCTACCCTGTCCATACAGACAGTGCTGTTCATGGCATCTGTCCCTCTCAGCTGTCACTGCTGTCCTTGGCCCTCAGAGGACCACCCACTACATTTGCTGAACTAATCAGTGAGCAACTCAGAGAAAGCTGGCACCCTAGTCAGTTCTGTATAGTATGTGCCTTTCCCTGATACCATGCAAAGAGAACAGGCAAACACGTGAGACACCAAATGACTTGTGAGGTAACCACAGGAGGGCTTTTGGGTATCACAGAAGGGAACCCAAGGCAGGTGGCAGTCTGGGGAAAGAGTGGCGACTGAGCAGAGTCCCTCTGGTTGAATGACCTAGCAGGAAAATGTGAGACATATTCCAGTATCCAGTATCCTTATTTACCTGCAATAAATACATAGCTCTGACCACATTGGACCATCCACTTTGCTAGTGGGGTTGTGCTCTACAACTCTCACTGGGATTAACCGAAGTTTGGTTACTTTTTGCAAAGCTCTGAGTGAATTTGGTCTTCAACATACTCTTCTCCCGTCAAGTCTCCTCCACCGTCCTCCCCTGACACGTGTCCTGGTTCTAGCTCTGCTGTCTGTTTCCGTGATGGAAAGTACTAATTTCAAGAGTGCTAGCTAACCAGGTTAAAAGTTACAACTCCAGGTTGTAAGGTTTAAAATAATCAAGTCTGAGGTTCGATGTTACTCCAGAAAGAGAAACATTAGCTCTGCCTCTATTCCTGTTTCCATCTGGTCACCTGGTGCCTCCCCACCTTCTCCTAACCCTTCACCTGGACTTGGGTCCACAGGAACATCCGGGATCTTGGGAGCAGCGCGACGCCAGGTACAAGGTTCCTCCCCTTGTTCGATCTGAGAGAGGACTTCAGGCTTGGAGATGGCGTAGTCTGAGAAAAGACAGGAAGGTTAGCTTTGCCACCTTCCTATCAGGGCAGAGGGAAGGCAGCTGAAAAACCAAGAATGGTCTAGGGACTAAATTCATAATAGGTATAGGGCAGAGGCTCAAAACGGTAGGCAGTTTTGTTACAAGTCTGGAGATAATCTTGTGCAGCATCTAAAAGAAGTGCTGCTGGCATCTGGTAGGCAGAGCCCAGGGCTGCTACTGAACATGAGTTATCTGTCTAGAGTGCCAGCAAGGTGGGGTGCAGAGCCTGCATATTAGGCAGCAGCATGCCTGCCAGCTAGAGCACCCACTCCATCCTCATGCACATGCCTTACTACTCTTGGCTCTAGAGTACCATCAAAGTCACCCAAACGGGAAAGAAGCCAGGAAGACGCAAACTGCACATCCCTTCTGGGCAGCAGGGCTCTGGAGCATGGTGCTCAAAGGCCGCACGGTCCACAAGAGAAGGTATAGGAAATCCATCTTTAATGCTAAGTTGCCTGCAAACTGGTTGAGAGTGTAAGGCTTCTGCACTCCAAGGCTCAGCAGGAACAGAGACTGGACATGGGCAGGAAAAGGGCCACCACCCTCCTAAACTGCCACATTGCCAGGTAGAAGGGGAAGTTTCACTCCATCCTATAGTTGCAGGAGGAGGAAGACAGATCTCCTAACTCAACACATCCAGGGCTTTACATCTGTCTGAGATAGAAACACCCAGGATAGAGAGAGGGGCCCAGGGACTTGCAGAGCCCTCCTCCATGGAGAAGCAGGTGTCAGGCCTTACCCAGGGAGACCAGGGTCTCGTAGTTGCCCCGCATCACGTGCTTGTACAGCTCCTTCTGCCAGTCCTCCAGCCTGCCCCACTCCTGCTCGGAAAAATACACGGCCACATCATCAAAGGTCACGGGCACCTGGAACCACAAGGGTCACACTCGCTCATCCACATGCTGGCCACAGGGCCCATGGGCTCTCCACCCCAGGGCACCCAAAGGCTACCTTGGGGACCTCTCCCTTGCTCCCAGGGGGCAGCCGCAGGATCCAGAAGTTCCGGTTGCGCAGCAGGTTCTCCACGTTCTCCAGCCTCCGCTGCAGCAGCCCGTACTCCTGCAGCAGGGTCCCCAGCACGGCCCACTTGCCCTCCAGCTGGTTGCCAAACTCCATAGCTGTCTTCTCGCAGTCTGCCAGCTTCTTCTCAGCCATACCAGTCCGACCTTCCAGGGAAAGCAAGCGAGCAGCCTGCGATTCAATCTTCCTCTCCATGGCCTGAATCGTAGCTGCCATCGTCCATGGGGAGATCTTTGCAAAAGGGAAGAGTGAAGCAAGCATCACCGATCACAGGGCTTGTGCTCTGGCCCTTTATCTCCCCTGGATATTCGCAGCCCAGGAAGTGGGAGACCTCGAATCGGATGCCTGATTCCAACTTGGCCACCTCCTCCTGTGGGCATCTGGGATTGGCCTGTGTCTGGGCAGCCTCCTAGCCTGGTGCTTACCACCCTATACGGTCATTTCCGGTGAGCCTTGACACTGTGAGCGACCTGAAGGCGGCCTTGCATCTTCTCACAGCACACGCTTGACACATGGCAGGCGCGCTGTGTGATTTTGCAAAATAAACAGTGACTGAGCATTGCTGGGGTGTTTCAGCAGAGACGCAGTAAACTGCAGATTTACAGAGCCTGGCCTGGACTCCCTCCCGCCACAATCGCACAGGAACTGTCTACTGATGATGACCCAGCAGAAACCCCTAGTTGCTCCACTGAAACCACACAAACAAGAGTATTGCTCAATTTCTTTTTTAAAAAGCATATCATGTCTCCTTTTAACAAAATACTGGATGGCCAGTTCCAGGATAATCTGATTCTGTTCCTTCACAACTGCCTTTCTCCTACAAGCTAAAATGACCATGTAGCAAATCTTCACTAAGCCAAGAGCTGGACTTTTGGACATTACCTGAGCCCCCTGAGATTCTATTTTTTTTTTTCTCCTGGTTCCCACTCTTTAAAGGTTAAAAACAATGAACCTTAGACATTTGTGACTGCCCCAAGATCAGCGATAAGCCTGCAGTCTAGCAAGGAAGCCAGACACATGTGTGAAGTCATCTTTTAATACACGTGGCAACAATAAAAAAAAACCTCAGAGCTTCCCTGTCACCAGAAATGGCCACAAGAGGCTTGAGTGCCTGCAGCTGGGAATTGTGACGAAAGCATGTTTTGGGTGGGGAACTGGACTACTTGTCCCACTCATATCCGGGGTGGACCCAGGGGACACAAAGGAGGTGCTGTCCTCCACCAGTCAGCAGCTGAACATGGAAGGTTTGTATAGTTTCAGGAAAACATTTCTAAGCAAAAGCTTGGCTGTACCTTGCAAAACAAAGTAACTTCTAGGAACTGGCACAGGCTCATTTGGAGTCAGAATCAGAAATGAGAATCAGACAGCGACTGACGCCTCAAAAAACAGGGACAAAAGGAGGCAGAAGAAAGCTCTGGAGAGTACTGAAGAGGTTCTCTGCCTGCTTGACCAAGGTAGGCCTCTGGCTGGATCTCTGAGTGATGGGGGAAATGAGATCAACAGTGGTAGGAGTAGGTCTGGGACCACTGGTGCTTGGTGGGATGGCTTGGTGGCCCTCTCTATGCTGGTCTCCCCCTAAGATAAGCCCTGCCAGTTACACCCCAGATTCTGAGTTTATTTCAAAAGGGTCCTTGTACTTTACTACCTGATTCCTCTCCCCTTAAAATCCTATCACACCACATGTGCTGCTGTAATCCAATCTGTGTTTCTTTAGCCTGGGACAGACATAGGCTCCTACTTTATTAAGAGTTTATCCCTCTTTAGTACTTGAACAACAGGGTTTCCTTTAGCATTTCACAGAGCCCCCAAGCTCTACCCAAGGCCTCCAGACTGTCCTTCAGGAGGCAGGGATGGTCCTCTGCTCAAGTCCAGCCTTTCACTAACTGGAGGGTGGAGTGCCTGGTGCATTAGAACACTCTGCCAGAGGCGCAGCTCCTCTAAAAGGATGGCAAATCCCTCAATAACACCCCACCCACAAGAGGAAGTCCAGGCCTCTCAAGCTCTTCCAACTGTCTCTTCCAGCATTACGGGCTCTGTGTGTCTTTCCATCTCTGTGTGCCTCTGTCCAAGCGCTTCTCCCTCCTTGGAGAGCTTTACCATCTAGGAAGCTCGGCCTACTGAAACCCTAGCCTCCCACAGAAACCCAGCTCAAATCACAGAACAGAATACCTGGCCAGGAAGAGTGAGCAGGGGCTGCACTGCCACAGCTCGCTGCCACCTGGCCAGCTGGCTCCCTCCCCTTTTCGGTTCTGCAGGGCTGCTACCAGCGAAGCCAGTCCGCTTGCCCAGCAACACCGGTCCCTAGCCACCATGTCTTCCACACTTTTGAGCTAAACTGTCCGTCCGGGCAAGTTAACTTCTCTGGCCCCAGGGCTTTTCTTTTGTGTGGCAGAGATAACAGCAGTATCCACCCCCTAGGTCTGCAGAGAGAACAAAATAATGGGGGCCGGGTGCTGCACCTGGCTCGACACACGCCAGCTCGGCACGTAGCGGGCGCGCGGCTTCTGCGGAATCGTCGCCGGACACCTCCCAGGTGCCACCAGGCCGCTGGGGGGAGCTGGGGGAGGGAAGCCCAGCCGAGCGCTGGGCAGAGAAAGGAGCCAGGCGGGGGGCGCAGGACCGAGGGGACAGCGGCTGGGGCGGAGACAGGGAGCCGCGCAGCGCTGCGGGAACTTGGCGCGGGGCGGCCGTTCCGCCCGGCGCGGCCCGACACCGAGTGGGGAACCCTGCCTCAAGTGGGGGGCCCGCCCCAGAGTGGGGGCCTGGTGGGCGGGCGTCCTAGGCCCCGCGGGCCCAGAGCTCCGCTTGCCTGAGCCTCAGCCCGGCTCGGATCCCCGGCCTCCTCCCCAGGGCCTGCGGGTAGTGCGTTGGGCCCGGAGCGCAGTGCCCCAGGCCGCGGGTCCGAGAGCGCGCGCCGCTCTTACCGGAGCCGCCGCCGCCTCGGCCATGGCCCTGCGCTGCCCAGCCCGGACCGAAGGAAGTCGCCGCCGCGCGGCCCACGTAGGCCCGGCAGCCCGGAGCTCTCGGAAGGCGGCGCGGCCTCCTTCCCCGCTGCGCTCCTCGGTGGCCGGCCCGCAGCCCGCTCCGCCTGCAACGCGCCACCGCCGTCAGCGCCCGGCCGGTCCACACTGCATCCTGGGAGCCGGCGCCGCGGCCGGGCAAGAAGGCCCGTGAGGCTTCCTGGAGGCAGCGCGGTCGCACAGCGCCCCCTGCAGTCGGAGCGGCGAATGGCAGCCGGCGCCGCCCCGCCCACTATCGCTCCGCCTATCACCGCTCCTCCCACACCCTCGGGACACGCCCATCGACCAGGTCTGGCGCGCGCCGGGTGTCTGCTTGATCCCCGCAGCTGGATCACAGGGCCTCGGTCAACAGAGTCTTGTCTCCGCTCAGTGACCAGGCTGGCCGGCCAGGCTTCCCTACGCAGCGCGCTGCCCCGCATGATCACGGCGACAGAGGCCTTTACGCCCTACGTAGACGGTCGCGGGTCTGAGTCTGGGCCGGGAGCTTTGGCTTCATGCTTTGGACACCTGTGGCTCACGCGTGCCATTGCTTTCCAGTGAAATAAGTAGAACTTGCTATGTGTTTATTACAGTAATTACTTTTAATGGAATAAATGCGACGCAATGCCATCTCTTGCGAATTATTTTAGCAAAATTAACATGCAATGGAAGGATGTTCATGCTATATTTGTACAGGAGTTTGTACAGAACGATTCCATTTTTTAAAAAAATATTATGTGCGCATATATATATGTGTCTACATAATTGGTGGTTTGCTATACTGTACCTAGAAATATAACACTGTAATAGAAACATAGGTGTATCACATTTTGTATATAACATGTTTAGATAGATTCGAAAACATAAATATTAACATAGTCTAGGCAGTTTAATAGGGAGACTACAGCCTGTTTTTATGCATTTTGTGACTTTTTTCAATTCATACTTTTATAGTAACACGAGTGTTTTTAGTCGAGAAGGAAATAAACATTTGAAACTCCTTAAGAGTCTAACGGGAGCAGGCTGATAGGAGCCTGGTATGGTGCCCCCTCGTGGCTACAAGAGTGCATTGCGTTTCACAGTGGCCCAGCAGCAGTCCGCCTGCCTCGCGGTCCAGAGCTGGGGACTGACGTGGTGTTTCCGTCTTACTGTGCAGCCTGGGCCGAGATTGCACCCCGGGAGCGTCCCAGAGGCAATTTTTTTGTGTGTGTACAAAAATACACTTTCAAAACAATGCACTTTCCCGGGAGCTGTTTTTCCTTCCAGTTTGCATGTCCTCTCCGCTTGGGGCTGGACCCACGGGAGCCTAAATTTTGTATAATTTTGGGCGGTGGGGGGGGGGTGGATTAGGAAGGAAAAAAAGCTAGGACATGACAAATGTGAAAGTAGGTACAAAGGAGGCGTTCTGAAGCTCAGAATATTAAAAAATAAAAAAAGAGAAAATCAGTAGGGGCTTTGGGATAGACCTCAGCCTGGTCGACGGGAAGGTGGTGTAGGGAGACCTAGGTGTCAGAAACCTGAAGGCTTCGCCACGAGCTTGTTGAGATCCTTGGACAAATCAGCTGCTCCCGGACCCTTCTTGCCTCATGTTTAAACTTGGAAGTCGCAGTTTATCATTTTGAAATTGTTCTTTCACTAACTTGCTTTGATACTGGGCCCAACTGAAGACCAGTGCCTTCCCCCTTACCGCGACCTGGCTGCTGGGCGCTGCATGGTAATTTGCTTACTTTCTCATGACCAACCCACGTTGGCCAGTCCCTTTCGCGATGTCTTGGGGGAGCTACTGCCAGATACCTCGGGGGAGGGGCTTTCTTTTTGCTTAAGAGTGTTTAGCTGCATGGTAACATGCCAGAACTAACCATCTCAGCGACTCCAGGATGGGTGTGCCCCTGCCTCCTGGAAGGACATCAGCATAGGATTTAGAGACCTCCAAGAGTTTCTCCAAGGAGTTCCAGAAAGAGGCTCATATGGGCTACTTCTTACCATCCAGTAGGTGTTGCTCTTTTGAGCAGAATGAAAAATCAAGCCCCCAGAACTGGAAGCCACAATAGTAGCATTGGATTAGCTCTCTGTTCTGGCAAAAAACTGTCAGCAACTTTATTTAGAGAGAATTGCCTGGATTAATTTATTTCAAAGGTTAATATGAGTATGAGAAGTCTTTACATCTCATTGACTTCTTCCAATACTTGTTGCCATGGTCTACTCCCACTGAAAAGGCTGGGTTTCCTGACTGGTCCTGGGTCATAACTTGCTTACCAGACAGCTGCATACACACAATTGATAAGAAAGTATGTGATAGATAGATATAGATAAGAAAGTATGTGATTATATATATTCTTTTTGTTATGCTCTATGCTTATCGCCCTAGTAACTATGTACCTGGAGCACCGACCATATTGTTATAAATTTGTAAATTAGCTGACTGCATCGCCATGCTGTTTTGTATGCATCGTCCCCCCCCCCCGCCACCTTAGGAACCTGTTTGCTGTGTCAACTTTTGTCCCCCTTGTAAGAGACAAACGATGCTACGTCAACCATTGTTCCTTTATGAGAGACAAATGTTCCTGGAATTGGCAGACCAAGGGCTATGAATTGGCTAACCACTCACTGTGAAATGCCTCTGACCTCAAGCAAAGGGGAACAAAGGCCCACCTTGTTTCTATTTCCCATCACTATGTACTTAATGATCAATGAGCTAATCATATATGAACTATAAAAATCAGTCAAAATTCTGACTCAGTTGCACAGCTTTGCAAATTCCATCTGCACTGTGTCACTGGGCCAGCTAAAATAAAAGTGCTTCTTAAAATGACGTCATTTTGCCCTGTCTTTTTTCAGGGTCTTGCCCCATTTTTCATCTCGGGGGCCTTTTTTGGGGAAGTACAACACTTTTTAAAATAGGACTTTATAGAGAACATATAATTTGAATTGGATCTCACAGGATGGGCAGAATTTTAATAGGTAGAGAGCATTTCAGACCAAAAGGTGTGAGCTGGGTGACAGGCTAGAAAAACTTGAGACAGGGCAGTACAGAGAGTATTTTAGGAGCAGTAGAGTTGTTTGGTTAGGCTAAGACTTGGGATAACAATGGCAAATAGGTTGTGTTAGTCAGATTTCTGTGACTATAACAAAATACTGAGATATACAACATAAAAAAAAAGGTTTGCTGTGGCTCACTCTTGTAGAGGATACTGTCCTTGATTGGGCTGGCCAGGGCTGCTCTTGGGTCTGGTGGTAAGGCTGGATGGTCATGCCAGGGAGTACAGTGACTTATGGCCACGAAGTACCTGAGAGTGAGGAATGGGATGAGTTCATCATCTCCTTTGAGGCCACACCCCTAGTGACTTTATGACGCTCCCATTGGCTCCCACCTCCATTTCCTTATAGCACTGCCTTAGGGACCAAGCCTTTCACACAGTAGCCTCAACATCCAAGCTCCAGCCCAGGTTGAACCATATCACAAGAAGCTCAAATGTTAGGGTATAAACTGGGTGTGGTGGCACTGTATGATCCCAGTACTTGGGAAGCTGGAGCAGGAGGTTGAATTACATAGTGAGACCCTGTCTAAAAAAATATTAGGGCACTTAAACAGTCCTCAGGCTTGATAGCTGACTGAGCAGGGAATCACACAGTCTTAATGCTAATAGACTTACTTATGCAAGTGTACATGCTGTGTCAGCGTGTTAGGGCCATTTTCAGGTAGTGATCACAGAGCATGGTATAAAAACCAGGCTGTTTAAAAACCACACTGTTAGTATTTCTAGGGAAGCTTGCGAAGTGCATGGATCTCTAGATTTCTAGATTTTTAAAAATCTGTATAATAGGGAATTTTTTTAAAAAGAAGGGCTAGGGGTTAGGATATCGCTCAGTGGCACAAGCACCTACCTGGCAAGCACGAGGTGTCATGGGTTTGATACCTAGTACAAAAAAAAAAAAAAAAAAGGGCTACTTTACACAAGCTCCATATAGGGGGTGAAGGTAGATGCTAATGCACAGCCAAGTGTAGTGCTGTCCTGTCCACTTTCCACCCTGACAAACTCACCTGCGAAGCAATGTCTAATAGTTGGACCCCAGCTTCTATTTGCAGAAGAAATAAAGACAACATCCCTGGGACTGATAACAAAGATCTTCCCTCCCTTTGTAATGATCACTCTGTCTGCATCCCAATCCTTGTGTTGCAAGTAGGCATGAGAATTTTCACTTTTGTGCCTTTCCTCAGACTCCCCCGATGACCAAAAGTCCCATTATTTTTCCCAGGCAAGCCCACTATCATCCCACTGAAATCTTTCCATTCCCATAAAACCTGCAGTAGACTTTGACTTATTCAAATGCCAACAACTTAATATTGGTACCATGCATTTAACACTGAGAAAAAAACCATGACAATACAGGGTAATAGACGTGCCCTAACCTACCTCATAGATTATAAATTCCTGTTTAGTGTTCTTGGCACTAAAGGTGAGATTCCTTACCCAGAAGGACCCTGTGATGATCTGTGAATTTGAACCCAGATGTGTCAGTGCAGAGGCTGGGACAGCCAGGAAGTATGAGGTTCACACATAAGGCCAACGGACCCAGGAATTTCTGTGGAGCCGCTCACTCAGTATGGATGGATCTCTGCTTTTCCAGGTGCTTTTTTATGCCTGAGATTTTTCCTTTGCAACCAAGCACAGAGTCTAAAGGTTCAGGACTTTCAATAGAGATTATGATAGTTTTTGCTGCTTAGCATTACATTTCTAGTGTTCCCTTTGAGGCACATGACTGGATCGCACTTTTTGGTCCCTTGAGGTTGGGTTGGGCCATTTGGCAAGTTCTAGCCGATGAGTTGGGCTGTACAATTCAACGATGCACGCACATATATTATTTCAGGAGCAAGCACTTACTTAGGCTGAGGTCCTCCATATA